AGAGAGAGAGAGAGTGTGTTTGAGTGAGAGAAAGACAGAGCGTGGGTGTGAGTGAGAAATGATGTGTAAAGTAGTAGTAGAGCATGGTAAGTATTGTAGTGCACGGTATACATTACATAGATGTAATTGATATTTGTAAAGGCTGATATGAATATATAAGCAGGTTGGAATAATGTGTGGTAAATGTTAAAAAGATGAAATATACACAGAATGGAGACAGAGCAACTTGGATACAGAGCTGACCGTATCTTTCCCTCTCTCCATTGTCTAAGGTACAACAAGCTGAGTCGTAACGTAAGAGATCTGGCGCAGAAGATCAGAGACCTGGACGAGAAGGATGGCTTCAGAGCTCAGAGCACTCATCGACTGCTGGAGAAAATGTGAGTGCGATGAGTCTGTTCCACAGGCTCTCAACAGGTGGCGCTCTCTGTTCCCCCCTCTTCTATGGAGTACAAGGGGAGAAGTGTCATGGGAGCAAAGGCTACAGATACTTTCTCAAACGTTCCACATGTTGACCATGTAGTTCTATTATACATGTTGGGTAATCTTCTGTTTCTACATAAAATCACGACGTTTTGAAACAGATTATTGTTTTATTCCCACTAGTTACAGCATCGGCCTCATCCCCACCAAACAGAACCTCTCCCTCACAGAGAAGGTCACAGCTTCCTCATTCTGCAGGTAAATAATCTGTAATGTATGAACAATGTCAGAATGTTACGCTCATTCAGTCCACAACACCTCACCGCCTGTCTGTTTCCTTGTCATTTCAATCACCTGTGCGCCCCCTGCAGGAGGAGGCTGCCCAGCATCATGTTGAACCTTCGTATGGCTCAGAATCTGAAGAACGCCGTCACCTTCATTGAACAAGGACGTATCCTTCTTTACTGCAGCTGCCTATGCCCACCATAGTGTCGTGCACCCTCTTTCTTAGGTTGATTTTTATCTTTATTGTTTTTATGCAAAGTTTTTTTTTAGAGAGAAATTGTATTTGCCTAGGTCCAAAGGAAGAATTTGTTTTTGCAGTAGTGGACCTTGACACAATCTCAGATGTGCGTGTTGGCCCAGACGTCGTCACAGACCCTGCATTTCTAGTCACAAGGTCGGTGTCCACATTTGTTAACTACATTTCTTTGGATTTGATGTAGCTAATGTTTTAAACAACTGTATATTCTGTTACCACAAAAAAATAGAATAGAATGTCTTTATCTCAAGTGACCAAATATTGAAACATACATTTTTCAGAAATATGGAAGATTTCGTCACTTGGGTGGACTCATCCAAGATCAAGCAGCACATCATGAATTATAACGATGAGGTGAGTTTAGTCTTCAGAATCTGCTTGTGAACAAATATTATCTTTTCAGTTGCTGAAAGACAAAATGTTTTGAAGCAGATGGCTCCGTAGTATTGAATCCCAGTAACCAAACACACACAAATATTGGTGATAGATTGTGTGTGGCCACAGCATAATTCTGATATTACTAAAATGACCTTTGGGTTTCTTTTGCAGAGAGATGACTTTGACCTGGTGGCATAAGTCAGTTAGCTAATTTGTTGCTCTGGAGGAGAAGACCGGGACAAAAACTCTGCTCTGTGACATGAATACATCTACAACAGGATGAATCTCCTATCAGCTGGGATTGTGGAGATAAAATAAGTTATGTCCTCAGAAGTCCTGACTCATTTGATCAAAGACTGAAGGAGTTCACTTCCAGACTCTACGTTTTTCAACACATATTCTTTCGACACTGTCACAGCTGAAATCTAAAATGATCATCCATCCACTCATCAAAAATGTCTCTGATTCTGGAAGTGACATGAATCATCAGAGTCTGCACTGGTGTTTGTTGATGTCACCATATGAGTCTTTACTCTAAACCTGCTCAGCCACCAGAGTCTCAGTTATTTCCATTTTACAGCATAGCCACTAGCTATGTATATACAGGGAAGCTTCTAGAGTTGTGTATCCGTGGTTGTTCCCTCTCCTGCAACTCCATGTTGCTTGCTCTGCATAATGTGTTCTTTGTTCACAACCTGCCTGAGTTTGTGAGAAGGACTGTTGCCGGCCATGATGTTAACAACCTGTGTCATGCATACAGATGTTAAGTAGAAACTGGTTCTTTGATAAATATTTAATCTTTGTTACAATGTACACTTTATGAACAATAAACTTTCTTATATCAAAATATTAAGACTGTTCACGATACCTCTGCATCTTCGTGTTTATGGTTTTTCTAATTCTGAATCCTAAACCAACATGTAAACATCTATTTGTCAACACCCTGTCTTAATATTCCAGTCAACAGTTGCATGAGCTCACCAAGAAGCATTTGCTTACACACAGACAAGTCCCAGCACAGCCCAGTGGCTCAGTTTACACTATATGTGCCAACATTCAACTCAGAGCTGAATAAAGCAAAGAACATTTACCCTCATCATTAACCGACCTTTAAGGCACCTGCTATTTAACAAAAGTAACAGGATCTGTTTTAATGCTAAGTTTTCACTGAGAGACACCTCCTTCCTAACATCAGAGTCCTTGTTCGAGTCCATCAGAGCCACCAGAAACGCACGTAGATGACGAGTGTGAGGAAGAACACTGTCACAGCAGCCACCTTTGCATATGCGGAGCGAGTGTTGAGGTATTTTGCATCGCTGCGGTACTTCTTCGACAGGGTGGTAAGATTACTGGCTTTTGTGTCCAGAGCTGAGGGAAAATACAAACAGAAGAATGAAACAGTGCTTTATCAATAAATGTGCAATCAATTTTTGAAAACTGGTGAGACAATAAAATCTAAAACATTGCCACATATTTAGTGAAAAGCAAAATCAGAGCCTTCCTGACACATGCAGCACAAACATTTATATTTATTACAGCAGGGTAAACAAAAAACTGTTTTTAAACAAGCCAAAAAATACATTTGCAAATAACAGAGACAATATAAAGCTCATATTTATCAGAACATTTAATTGCATCACTATAATATAAATAACTTAGCATTACCTGATTGGGGTTTATACAACACATGCAGGATAGGCTCCACTGATGCTTTTCATTATTTCTGTACTCACCAGACAGAGCTTCTCCTCTTTGCAGAACTTCCTCAATATTCGCCACCATGATTCTCTGCACATCCTGTAGCTCTGTGTTGATGCTGCCCAGGTTCCTCCTGGCTCTGCTGTCCGCGTACATCTTCTTAGTTTTTTGGATGTATGTGTCTGGAACAGCGTATGTATGGGCAAAGTCAAGGTTTAAGTTTCTCCCCGCAGAGACAACGCATTACAATGAGATCGCAAACTATCTTACCAAACTCAATGAAAGAGTATGGCCTTGTTACTGTGGGCACTTTTCTTCCATACTGGTCATAGAACTCGTTGTGGAGGTCTTCGAGGTAGGCGAAAGCTATCTTCTTTGGGAATGAAGCCTCACAGAGGGACAAGTAGCACACACCCTGTGCTATTAAGTAGCTTAGAACAAGAAACAACACATTTCAGCCATAGTTAGTCATTTTCTATAAAGACTCAAATAAGTGCATTAAACTAAACCACAAATTACACAATATTTCAGTAGGAATACTTGGCTTCCATTTGAAGGTTGATGAATACAAGATCACTTGTATTTTCTTACTGAAAGTTCATATCTCCAGCCTCCAGGGTACAGCGGTCGGGACTCTGGGCGTTCAGTCTGCGGCACAGCTGCTTGGCCTGGCTCTGGTAATGCTGCAGGTCTCTCCCAGACTGACAGAGGTCAACAAACACAGAATGTAGTCAGACTCAGAACTGACGGTGACATGCAGGACCTTCAGTTGTGGAAGATAATTTCCCGACTAAAACTTAAAAGGACACAGGGCGGCTCAGGAGTTAGAGAGGGTCATCCAATAACCATGAGGGTGTGTGGTTCAGCCCCTGGCTCCTCCATTCTGCATGTATGAATGTTGTGTAATAGACGGGATAACAAATAAAAAGCGCTGTGTATAGAAGTGCTGCATGAATGTGTGAATATGACCTGTAATGTTAAAGCCATTTGAATGGAAGCAAAGATTGGATGCATATAAATATTCTATTTACCACTTGATAAGTAATGAAATGAAAACATTTGACAAACTAATCAATCAGACTTATATAGCTCCAAAGAGGTTATGTTTCCCCTGTGTTTGTTAGATAGTTAGCAGGATTACACAAAAACCATGCACCCACTTTTCATGAAATTTTGCAGAGGGTGAGGGGCAGGACCCAAGACAGAACTAATAGAATATTGATGATTTGTTTGTTTTTTTTAAATCATGCATGTTTAGGGGACTAATATCTATGAGTGTGTGCAATAAAAGTAGAGATCTAATGAATTGAAATGTGGTTTCATAAGGGGACTGTTAAGCCTTGGCTGAGGAGTGTGCTTTAATGAGGGCCATTGCAGTTTGTATCTGAAGAAATAAAAACAATACTCCCCACTCCATTACCCAGTCCCATCCACTCACACACATTTATTTTACATTATTGATTATTAGCTGTGTTAATCAATCTTTAACATTTTATGATTGCACCAGCAGCACAATAATAATCAGTTTTTATATTTAGATTAAATTTCATTTCATTTAGCTTCTAATTTTATACACACAACTCAACAAATGTACACGTATAGACAGACAACAGAAAAACCACCACCCTGCGTTCTGCTTATCTGACATCTATATATCTTGTAGTTTTAAAAGACAAATTATAATTATTGATATGCCGAACTTGTCAGTGTAATTTCAACAATCTAAAACAGTTGTTCAGACTTGTTTTGAGGAGGTCTACTTTACACTTAAGAGCATAAGCTAGCCGCCTCAGTATTTTTGAACGGAGCTCTGCACGGACACAGTGGCTATGAGGGGAAGCTAACTCTTATTCATACCTGTTCATCCTCCTGCACGGACGCAGACAGCGGGAGTCCGTCCGACACACGAGCGATGATCGTGAGTACAATCATACCGACGGAGGTCAGTGTTCGGCGGCGTCACTCGTCGCTTAATGTCCGAGCGAAGTGAACTTCAACAACTTTTTTTCTGTGTTTCTCAACTGTCAGCTCTGACGAGCAGGAAGGCGTGAGCTGGACGGAAGTGCGCGGTGCGTCGCTGAACTGGGTCCGGGTGGCAACTGATTAAAAAAACCGCACATCGCAGTCAAATTTTTCCATCGCTTAAAGAGGAAGGACCCGTTTCTGAAATCCCGCAGAAAACAATGTAGAGTATTTCGTGCTTTTCGAAATAACAGCAAAGAGAGCGGAACCTGTTGAGTTTCTGGTGAGCAGAGGTCACAGTTGTGTGTGTCTTGCAGGCAGCGGGCGCAGTCTCACGGCGGTAACAGGACAGTGGAGAGGCCATGAGCTCCAGCAGGGAGAGCCGGAGCAGACAGCTGGTAGACGGACTGACTGCGGCTCCTCTGCGGCTGCAGCTGCGGGCTGAGCGCCTCCTCCGTCTGGACTAAAGCCTCCCTGAAGTCGAACCACAGGAAGGAGATTTAAAACATGGACAAACCCAAACGGTAAATGCATGATTTATTGTTGCGTTTTCTTTATTTCCCGGCCTATTGTTTGTTTATGTGACTGCTCGTGTCTCAGCGTTAATCTGTCCCCTTGTGTTTCCAGTCGGCGGTGGAATGGCTGCTCTCTTATCGCATCTTTTGTTATTGTTAGTATGTGAACCTGCATCATTATCCTTTCACTCCGGTGTAAGGAAGCAGAAACGATGGTTGATGGTTTGCAGCGTCCAAGTGACGCGCTCCTCTTTCTTCTCATGCTTCTTATTATTTATTGTTATTATGCATGATGCAGCTGCAGCTTTGCATCTTGATACGAATGCGCACACAAGAGGGGATGACAGCGAGCAGCGGTGTGTGAGCGGCAGAGGATTCTGCAGCTGGACTCAGCTGTGCGTCAATGATCAACCAAACCATGTGGGGATCGATCGCTGTGCATTTTTACCACGCAGACTCTTGTGCAACACACTCACGTCTGCAATCAAATCACGTACGTGTGGTGTAATGTGATCCATGTGGGTCATACACCGGTGGAGTTGGGAGCAGTCTTCTGATGTATTAAAACAAGCCTTGGCTCAGCGGCAGCCCAGCAGCGCTTTGAAAGGCCTTATTGTTGCGGTGCAGCTGGCACCGCCGTGCGCACGTTCAGACCGGCGGGTGCATGCGTGACTCACGGCCAGGCAACACAGTCTGTTTTACTGTCTTTTCAGGAATCGACAGAGATGCCTGCGCGTCTTAATGCCAGGGTGGGGCAACTCATGACTAATTGATTATGAAAATTAGTGCTACATGCTGCAGACCAGGGGATTTCCTCCCTTGATTATAGTTCACCTCCTTCTATATGTGAGAGGTTTGTCCTGTTGTAACGATCAGAGGGGCCACGCTCTCTCCACAGATGCTCCTCACATGATTTCCCCAGGGGCCACCCCCTCCATCAATAGGCCTGTCTGATATCTGAGTGTGGGGGGTTCAGGATAAGTTTTGTGAAGTCCTGGATCTAACCGTGCACCTCCTTCCTTACCTGTCCCCAGGTGTGCCTGTGGTGCTCAGGGCTGAGGAGGAGAGCAGCTGAAGAGGAGGAGATGGGCTGCACCTCAGCCAAGCAGGTGTCAGCCGTGCCCAACGGTGAGGAGAGCCAAAATAAAGCGTACAGCAATGGAGACCTCCTCTCAGGTCAGTGTGTCAACTGTGCATATCATAGTCAAACACTGCAGACATGGACATTTATAACTGTCTCTAAAATAAAGCAAAACAAAACAATCTGCTGTTTAGTTGTATTAATTTCTACAAGGATTCTGATGAGTCAGGGAAGTGCTGATGTTAAGCTGATGCTGTCAGATAGTGACGGACTTCTTAATGAGTGCTGTCAAACTGAGCTAAATAAGATGCAGTCATTAATCTGAGGAGTGTTTTCTCAATTAACTGAGGAATTCTTTGGTCTTATTTAAAATTTCCAATCACAAATTTGCCTAGAGCCTTTCATTGTTTTGTCTGACCAACAGTCTAAACCCCAAAGTTGCTTAATTTTTAATTAAAAGAGGGGAAAACAAACAATCTTCATAATAGCATATTTCCTTGAAATGTGACTTAAATTGTTGCTGCTTCATTTATTATGGATAAGTGCATCATATGGCTGGGCCAAAAAAATACAATAATCATTTTGATGTTGATAATGATATTTATCATGATTTTTGTGAGTTTAAAGAGTAAGTGAAGGTTGTTGTTTTAAACTCTTCTTCATTGACAGGGTGACACTTGATAAACGGCAAAAACTTTCAAGCACCTGAGGATGAACAATGATGTGTTCCTCCTCACTGTGCTTGCACAATACAAAAGCATGACCTCCATATGTATTACACTGTTGTTATATTGTTATTGATGAAAATGATATTGCAATAATTACTGTTATTGTTTCACCGCCCACCCCTAGGGGAAAATTACTTTCACCGCTTGTTACTTTATGTGTATAATATACAAATACTTAATACATGGATTAACATTGTTCATTGTCCAGTTCTCTGGGTCTCTAATTAGTGCTTTATTAAAGGAGCTATATGTAAATTGTTGCTCTAGCTGCAAAGCCAATATTAGCATTAATAACTTTTTACTCGCAAATCTAGCAGGAACATCATGAGTTAAGCATCAAACTTATATATCTTTACTGTCCAAGAGCTGTCCATAGGTTTTCTTCTCTTTCTATAGCTTGTATGCCTCTGCTGAAGTTAGCATGCTAAACAGAGAAACTTTCCCATAAGGAGTCCCTGTAGGGTCCAGTCAGAGGACCCATTATAAACTCTTGTCTTGTAAGTGTAGTGATGACTGAAGCTCCTGGAAAGTGACCATCACTGTAGAACATATAGCACCTTCAAAGACAGCTGTGCTTACAGTTTGTGATTCTGTCATCTATAAGACAAGTCTTGCCCATTACCCCAGCTCAACAAATGTGGGTCAAACCTTTATGATTATTATTTTCATAAGAAAAAGCAGTTTCAAATATTACAGCTGCTGCAGATAGAGAATAAGATGTATAAGACTGCTGTGAATTACAATAATCGCAACCCACACAGCATTAATGTTCATCAGGCCATCAGAATCATATTTGTATTTTCATTTCCTCTCTAAATGCGTGGGAGTGGGTGGGGGGAGGGGGGGGTAAAAGGATGAGGGGGCTGGGCACAAATCAGACTGACGGCTCATGTGCTCGGCGCTTGCCAGCCATTGTTAAGAGGGGCTTTAGTCTGGAGCGTGAGAATTCGAGCACATAATTACTTTGCCAAGTAGTGAACTGTGAGAACTATTAACTCGGTGGATCTCGGCAGTGAGTGGGGCGTCCTCTGCATGCCCGTCACTCGCCTCTGTGGTCACAGATTAATAAGAGGAGACCTGCTCCTCTTTGCCTCTCTGTCTCCCACTCTGTCACAGATGAGTACAAGATGAGAGGAGTGGAGAAAGTCAAGTACATCAGCGGAGAAGAGGGAGGAGTGGACGGCCAGGACAGCACAGTCTGTGACTCTATTCTGTTCTGTTCTAATCTATTCTATTCTTTTTTTGTCTCTAATTTGACATTCATGTTTGAGTGATGTCTTCTGTTTTAGGTTGCTTTTAATACAAAAGTCAATTTGTTAACAAACTCAGTCATGACAAACATATATCATAGACTGTGTATAGAGACGGACGATATGACTGCTCCCCAAAAATGATGCACAAGTGTCTCGATCGCCACCTGCTGGGTAGCTGCAGTATGGTCATCAGCTTCCTCCATGTTAGTCCAGTTATAATAAAGTGATGCTATTAACAAAGGGTGAACGTCATGATTGACACCATAAGACTGACTCGCAATTGGTGGAGCCCGTGTATGGTTGGGACCTCGCCACCACGGCTTCATCCCTGATCACTACGGCAACATGGCTCTGTTCACATGCAGGATATTTTGGCTTCATTTCTTGATAGTGGGAGGAAGTGTAGTCGTCCATCTTTGCATACAGTCTGTGGTTCATATTCACTTAAATCTGATTAGATTTTAGAGCACTGTGTGCCATTAATTTGCATGTAAAGAAAAGAAAACACAATTATGTTTTAATATAATGGAGTTTCTATTGACATTTGTAAAGTTAAGAAATTTAAAAAATATTTTTAATTAACTATTTTAGCAGGTGTAATTAGTTAATATGGTAAGCACACCTCCTATGTTTTCCATTCTGCTGTATAATGGAATTGACTAAGACAATTTGTGTTCTTGTGTGTATATGTGTGTTGTCCCACAGGAGAAAAGTGCTCTCCTGGGTAAAGGCCAACAAATGGATGAAACAGGATCAAATGGAAATGAAAAGATTCTGTAAGAGTCACGGCTGATGGAGCTGTTTTTTTGGTCAATTTAAATGTCATTAACATACATTTACATACATGTTGTGTATTGATTGTGTGTTTGGCTCTAACCTGCAGGAGCATCCACTCCTCCGAGAGTCAGCAGGAGTTCTTCAGGATGTTGGATGAGAAAATTGAAAAGGTGAACAACAGAATCTGTCATTGGAGGGCCACTCTTTGATTTTTGTGTTTTGGCAGAAAGCTGCTGCTAGAGGACATAATGGAGGTTAATCCTTTCACTGCAGCAAATCTGTGGCAAGTGAGGACACAACAGATGACATAATGATATCACAAAAGAGCCTCAATCTGTCACGTCCAGTGCATTTTGCTAGTGTGGTGGTTTAAAGTAGTGTTGTTGAAAACAAAAAATTGTTTTACTGGCAGCGCTGCACTGCGACAGGATCTGGTCACAGAGAGGAGTGGTTTAGGTAGCTCGTGACCCGGGACTCTGCAGAGAGCTACAGCCACACTCATAGATCTCACGGCTGACAGTGCATATCCGTGCAAAACCCACACCATCAGGTCGAAGGAGCGGACTGCAGAGCTGAGAGAACAGAGGAAGGCTACAAAAAAATCTGCTGCAATTATGGTTCCCACACAGTAGCTTCCATAACTCCTAAATGTAAGAAGTGTGGAACAGCCAGGACTCTGACTAGAGCGGGAGAAGAGTTCTGAGGTATATGTGAGCACAGAGAGTTGGAGAGAAGCAAAGAGACAAAAAGCTGAAACCCAACTGAGAACGCAGTGAAATCATAAATATGCCTATGTGACGTAGGAGAGCTTTCCTCTGTTTCCTGTGATTCCACAGTTAATATAGATGTTGAGATGTTGAAATGTAATTGAGGTTTAATATTTTACAGTTTAAACTTAATTATAAATAATGATAAATAAAAAAGAAAACACAAATAAAACCAAATATATAGAATTAAATTGAATTAATTAAAAAAAAATCATAAAATGTAAACATAAATACTTTATATTGGTGCGTATCAGGACAAATAAAAGTGATAAATCATTTTGACCCTAGCTATGACATAACTGTTGTGATGCAGATCTCCTTTTTAAAATAAGATTTTCACACCGTCAAACTGAACTCAGACACATTACCTCTCTAGCTTCTTTTTGAAAGCTTTCTGAATGGTTGATTTGCATTTATTTACACTGTTTTTATCAATTATTTTCATTTTTACCACTTTTATCTTTTCTGTGCCCTGTGTCCTTTTAGTCAACTACCTTGTCTGGTTTTCAATTTTTGATTCGACTTGTTGTTAAGCACTTCCTAACATAACTATCCGCTATGTAAATTAAGTGTATTATTGTATTATACAAGAACACTAACGTTTCTCTGCTGTGTATCCAGGGTCGGGACTACTGCTCAGAGGAAGAGGACATGACATAGCACTGTGGTCGTTCATCCGTCAGTCCGCAGAATGAAAGGAACTGTCTTTCCAGTGTTACGGACGGAGCCCACCATGTGACACCACGTCCAGGGCCAATCTGTCCCGTCTCCACTGTCCCTTGTGTGTACGCGCCTGAGAAGAACGGATCACTGACTCGAATCAAGCACCTTTTTGCCGTCCTTCTCACGACCTGCTCTGTTGATTAACCCTGAAAAAGACTGAAATCAAAAATCAGAGACGGTTCAGTATTTGTACGTTTGCGAAGCTCTACAGAGAGAGAAGATTGAGGTTTGCTCTCCCGATGAAGCCATCGGAATCTTAGGATCTTGAGTTAAAAAGCTTCTTTTTCTCCTTTTTGGAGAACTCTTGAAAGAGTTCCATACATGGCTGTCATGGAGATATCATGTAGACATTAGAAACACAGACTGTTTATTTAATTATCCAACAGTGGGAATGATCAGTGCTGTTGTGCAAGCTGAGTCAAAGTGAAAATAATGTCTTTATCTGCATTATTTTGAATATTATCCTCCTGAAAAGTCGACAGGTTGGATGCTTACATTCCGAGACACAGTATGTACCTCTTTTCTACAGCTTGTCGACCAGTGCGGTGTGTTCGTCTGTCCCCGTCTGTTTCTGTATACGAGTATTTATGTTGAATAAGGCTCAGGGCTGAAGTGTTGTAATCTTTGTCCCATGTAGTCGAGTCCTTCCTCTCATTGAGACACTGCTGCACCATTCAAATATAAAGACACACATGCACTCTCACAGCGGGGTCACTGACGAGCCCCCGCTCCAGTATCTGCTCCATGTTAACCCTGCAGGGCGGTGGACACTGCATCATCACAGATTAGTCTCATTATGTGTTTTAATCACCAGTGTTACATTGTTTTGTTCAGTTTGTATGTTGAACTTTTGTTTTTGTAGAAAAATTAAAAGCGTTTTCAGTAACTTCTCCACACAGCTGAAGTGTTGTGTTGTCTAATAAACAGAACGGTGTAAGCTGCAGGCAACGCAAACAACTTGCAGGGGGAATCAGTTTGTCAATAATACTGTATGTTCAGTGCTCAGTCAGACTGTGACTGGCTTTGCTACAATACAAAGCTATATTAGCACAAGGTTGGAAGAATTAAAACACAAAAACAAAACATTAAAAACAACATTTTTACAAAGATATGAATTGATGAGACATCTCTTGTTGCCACTTGTTTAGATTTTAAGTTCAACTCAAATCCCACTCGAACGACACTCTGCAAAGGCTCGTCAGTTTCCTTAACTCCAATCAAGCTGATTGTTTTTCATTAAGATCTCTTAATTGTTTCCTGGGACAACAGTGGAATTGTTGAACAACAACAATCTCAGTGTAAAAAAGGGTTAAAAAAAGATCCTGGGTTCTTCTCTGACACTGCATCCACCCAATCCCTTTGGTTGTTTTTGTGTTATCTTGCTTACAAATACAAAGTAAAATATTATCAAGCAAACTTTACATTTGTTCGGGACAAACTAATCATGTCAGGTAGTTATTAAGACTTAGAAATCCTTCATATCCTCAACCAACATTTTTATTTACATTATCATTTGATATAACTTTCAAATATCAATATCTGCATCAGTCTCAGTCACTTTACCAACTGCATCAACAGAGCAATGATTCAACGTTGTAAATTGTTTACAATACAACAAACTTCACAAACACAGCAGGTCAACGAGCATCCAAGAACTTAGAAGGTACATCTGAATCTAATGTAATAAACTCATCTTGGGCCGACTTCTTCTCAACACAACAAAAGCTGCTTTCAGACATGCACTGAACTCAAGAGATCCTCCGGAGACGTGAACGCAATTTTCCAAGTGAGAGGCTCCGGAGTTTCTCTGCTTGGCCCCTAGTATAAAGTCTGCTGAAAGTTCGGAGGACATGATGTGAGAAGACAGCAGGAGATACTCTGCTGGTTTTACTGTGAGCGAATGGGGGGGGGGGTTTGATGACTCTCCCAAGCGCGAGAGACGCAAACATTTATAAAAAGAAAAAATATCTCGGGGTGAAAAACCAGACGTAGATGTCAAGAGAGTTTGTGGTGATAAGAGCTGATGCCATTGTTGAGGTGCTTTAAATAAAATCATGTGATCTCCGCAGCGGAATAAAAACACGACATCCCGCCTCTGCCTGCTGCTCCACCCCTCACCTGAGACCTGCACAGGATTTATTGCTGCTGTGATCGCGTCTGAGCGGAGAACCTCCTGCTGCAACCTGTGAAGTCCAGACCCAATTTTCTGAAGATCTTCCACAGGACATGTCTGAAAATGGCTTTACTGACAGAGAATAACAGCCTCTATAGCCTCAGGTGTCCCATGGAAAAGTCCAGTTGCACCTGTCAAGTTCCACATGATTCCACATGAGTGTCTTTCTGTCCTTCTCTGGTTCATCACCTCATCGCTCCAGCCGCTCAGTGCTGCTGCCGTCTCTTTCGGTGCTGCCGGCGCCCAGCGTCCTGGAAGGGCCCCACAGGAGGGTCAGGTGTCACCAAACCGTCACTCATCTTCTGATAGACTAGCGTGGAGTCTGATGCCACCGCACACAGCAGCATGGGAAAGCCTCTGTCCAGCACGTGTTGTATGCTGCACAGCAGAGAGGAGGATTACAGTTATCACATGGGAAGACGATGAGCTTTGTTGGTTAAAGAAAAAGAAACAACCAGAGTCTCTTCACCTTCTGTGGCACAGAGAACGGTGAACAGGCAGAGGAAGGACAGTCTGGATGGGGGCTCCATCCTTCTCTCTCCCTTCTAACAACACCAACTGTAGCTCAGGACTCTTGACACAGGACACGTCCTTCCACCGACGCACTGAGGAGAACAAGACTCGAGTGTAAGAGAGTGTGGGAGAGTGTGTGAGAGCCAGAGAGAGAGTGCGTGAGTGTGTAAGAGTTTACGTGAGTGTGTGAGTGGTCTCTAGACTGAGCAAAGGTACTGCAGAGTCAGTGACTTTTACACTTAATCCCTGCACACTCACTTATATTGATTTTATGTCGTTATATTAATTCAAAGATGGAAGACGTCACTTTTAATCCTCTATCAGGAAACTTCATCAACTGTGGATGTGACATTGACAATGACGTACATAGTTGTAGATCCTCTTATGGACACATGTTTGTGTCCTCAGTGATGTTTTGGAGAGTTTGAAACCACAAATGAAGAGCTAACAGTCCACACATTCACATGAACTACACACGGTGGAATAAAAAGCCTTATTCTACTAAGTTTGCTTTTGTCTTTAGAGACAAATAACAATAATTGAATAGAAATAAAGTTAACTTATTTTACATTCCCTCAGTAGAATTATGTAGTACAAGTTAAAACAGGAGTCAGACTACAGTGTCTGCTGGTAAAAGATTTTTTGTGTTATTTATTTATTCACTTCAACAGCATAAATAAAAACATAAATAGAATAATAAATTAAACCTCAGGCGAGGACACACACACACACACACACACACACACACACACACACACTCACACACTCACCCTCGGTTAGATCCATGTAGACGAGGAAAGCTGAGTGAAGCTGAGCGCTGTCCTCGACCTCCAGGTCCTTCATCTGCTGATACTGAAGACAGAGACAGACACTGGTGAGCGCGGGGTTTAACACCGGACACCTGAACGCAGCACAGACCTGAGCCTCTCACCGCTGGATGCATCAGGATCCAGTTCTGACGAGGAGGAGCTTCATCTGACGCCTCCGACATTTCAACTACTCAGGAGTCTACACGTTAGTTTACTACTACTATTACTACTACTACTACTACTACTACTACTACTACTACTATTACTGCTGCTGCTGCTGCTGTCCCAACATGTGCATGCTGTGTTTTCAGGTTTTACCGGCGTGCTACACTGAAAGCCGTCCGGGTGGGAAAACTCTATTCTTGTGTTCCGCGTAGTCTGTCAGACAAAAAAACCCCAAAAAGCTAATACATAATCTTTATATAGTCTATATTCAGTAAAAACATTCACTTTATTTACATTTACTTTATCTGACTATAACTGCTGCATTTTACTTAATTTATAATTTATTTATACTTAATTTATCATTTATTTAGACTTAATTTATCATTTATTTAGACTTAATTTATCATATTTTACTTTCATTTGCTATATTTATATTTACTATGTACATATATGTGTGTGTAAATGTATATGTACAGTATAAAGCATATATATTGTTGTTTTAAAATAATGATATATATAATTATTAATTATTATTATTTTCTGGAGAATTCTGTCAAAAGTTCTATTCTATTATTTATGTATTTAAGTAAATAATAGAAAAAACAGGATTACATGGTATATATCCCATTGATGTATACATTGTTTAAATTTGTTGAAGCCAACATGGGCAATAGTTCATGAATAGTTAATAGAAAATCGTCATGACTAATTGTGGTGACCAAAGATATGACGATCATGTGATGGGCGTGAAAGCTCAAGAACAGCTTATAAATGGACTTTGATGTCTGATTGGTGAGTCGACACTAGACATCACTTTCCATTCATCCATGTGAGCCACAGACTGTGTAACCATGATGTGAAATATTCACAAAATCAAACACTAGATGGTTGCTCATCTTCTGGACACATCTCTCTCTCTCTCTCTCTCTCGTTGAGTGTGTGTGTGTGTGTGTGTGTGTGTGTGTGTGTGTTTTACCATGTGTGTGAGAGTCTCTCCTCTCTCTCAGTGGCATCAGTCTGACTCTACAGGGACATGAAGGTGTCCTGCCTGCTGGAAATATGCCTCCTGAATTAATGGGATTCAGATTTTTTATTGTTCTTCTCTTGCTGCTCACTGGCACAGAGGAGACCCCAGCTGATCACCTCCCTGAGTCCTCCCTGCTGAAACCCACAGTGCTGATCACCATCCTCGCTCGCAACACACAGCACAGCCTCCCTCACTTCCTGGGATGCATCGACAGACTGGACTATCCAAAGGAGCGAATCGCCATCTGGTACTGTCACTTTATTTAGTGCATTCATCAGTTCATTAAAATGGGGAAAGGAAATTAGGAAAAGGGATTTCACCACAGATTTTAGGCATTGATAAGAAAGAAAGAAGAAGGGAAAAAAAGAAAGAAGAAGGAAGGATAGACAGGCAGACAGAAAGAAGGCAGACAAAAAGAAAGAAAGAAAGAAAGAAGGAAGGAAGGAAAGACAGGCAAACGAGAAGAAGAGAGGAAAGAAAGGAAGAAGGATGTAAAGAAATACAAGGAGACAGAAAGAAGAAAAGGAGGAAGGAAGGACGGAAAGAAAAAAGAAAAATAAGGAAGGAAGGAAAGAAAGAAAGACAAAAAGAAAGAAGTAAGAAAGGATGGAAGGAAATGCAAGCAGACGGAAAGAAGAGAAGAAGGAAAGAAAGAAAAACTGAAATAAGGAAGGATAGAAGGAAAGACATGCAGAAGCAGAAGAAAAGAAGGAGGGAAGGCGGGAAGGAAGAGTGTTATCGTGTTACTGTTTGTGTTGTCAGGGCGGCGTGTGACCACAGTGTGGACAACAGCTCAGCCATCCTGCAGGAGTGGCTCAGAGGAGGTCAGCACCTGTACCACTCAGTGGAGTGGAGACCAGCAGAACAACCAAGGTGAATAAATAATAAAAATAAACAACTGATACTGTTTCATCAGTGTTCTAATGAAGTGGTAGTGAACCAGACATCTGATCTTCTCATGTCATTATTCTCTTTCTTCTCTCAGCTCTTACGCAGACGAGCAGGGTCCAAAACACTGGAGTGACTCTCGCTTCGTCCATGTGATGAAGTTAAGGCAGTCAGCGCTCAGAGCTGCAAGACGACTGTGGACTGATTACATACTGGTGAGACTTTGGAGACCCCAAGACACCAAAGCTGTTCCCAGACATGAACTGATGAAAATGTCCAGAAAATTGGCTCTGCACCTTTTCCAGACTCTGCCTTTCACATATGAAGAACCCCGCAGGACATTGTGTGGGTCAGACGTGCTCAGCGAAATATCCTGAACAATACATGAGGGGTGGTGTCTGAGTAGGAAATAATGTATAAACTCAGCTGATTTGCGTTCTCCCAAAAAGCCCCTTTGGTGAATTTCAGGAAAATGTCCAGAGTTCAGTGCATGTGTGACAGCAGCTAAAGTAAAATGTTTTAGCTTGTTGGGAGAATCGATCCACTGTCACAGTGTCTGGTGTTTTAGTCATCTACAGTATATTATGTCTTTGTCCCTCAGTTTGTGGACAGTGACAACTTGCTGACAAACCGCCGCGTGCTGTCTGACATGATGGCGGAGAATCTAACTGTTGTTGCTCCCATGTTGGAATCAAGAAGTCTTTACTCCAACTTCTGGTGTGGCATGACTCCTCAGGTACAGTTTGTTAGAGACACCCACACAAAACATGGCACATTCCATGACACTCAAATGAATGAGCAAAACTCTAACACAACTGTTTTAATTCTTATAATACCGACATAGGGATACTACAGACGAACCCCTGAGTACATTCCCATCAGTAAGTGGGAGCGGCAGGACTGCTTTGCAGTTCCCATGGTGCACTCCACCTTCCTGCTGGACTTGAGGCGCAGAGCCAGTCGAGCACTGGCCTTCCACCCTCCTCACCCTGAGTACCCCTATCATCTAGACGACATCATGGCCTTCGCTTTCTCTGCCAAACAAGCAGGTCAGACCTTTGACAAAATGGGTTTTAATTACCTCCACTGAGGAGGTTATGTTTTCTTCTGCAGATATTTGGCACGATTACGCAAAACATCTTGATTGCCATGAAATTTTATGGAGAGGGACATAAAATAGGCCCCTCTGTGTAAACTGGGGCCCCTTTATGGCCCCAGATGTAGAAAATCCTAGATCCACCTCTGCTGCCATTGCTTTTCCAATGACAAAGAAGATCTTTGCACTGAGACCTGATGTTTTTCTGTCGCAGGCGTCCAGATGTATGTGTGCAACAGGGACCATTATGGATATTTACCAGTGCCCCTCAAGCAAGACCAGACCCTGGAGGAGGAAGAGGAGAGTTTTATCCACACGCTGACAGAGGCACTGAGTACGTATCTCTCTAACTGAGAATTTTAAGGATCTCTGCTTTTCGTCTTTGCTCATCGTTTCTCTGGTCTGTGTGAGCATATTGGTCTTTTTCTCTCTCACAGTCCTGACACATGTCTCACTCCTCTGTTAAAGGCCACAGCCTCTCATTTCATCATCTCCTCCTCTTCTTTGAGTTTCACATTAGTTAGATGTTGAACTATGAAACTCCCTGAGAAATCCCCTGACAAAGAAACCCCCTTGTAACCAAATGATAATCATGTGAAATGGAAATTGTGTGTGTGTGTGTGTGTGTGTGTGTGTGTGTGTTTCCAGTTGACTACACCATGGAGCCTTCCCAGTACGTTCACACTGCACCTAAAGAACCAGGAAAGATGGGGTTTGATGAGGTGCAGATTCATTTTCAGTTGAGCACATGTGTCAGAGCTGTTGCTGTGGAAATTAACAGTCTGTTTACTCTGCTCCTCCACCTCCAGATCTTTCTGATCAATCTGAAGCGTCGCTCAGACCGACGGGACAGGATGTTGAGTTCTCTGGCCGTCCTCGGTATCAATGCCACACTGACAGAGGCCGTGGATGGCAAGTATGACCATACAGTGACCGCTGTCTTTATGCAGTGTGGTGGAAGAGGGATTCAGCAATAAGAGTTAAGACCATGTAGAAATACTCTATGTAAAAGTCGTGTAGAGTAAAGTATCATCATCGAAAAGTATCAAATATAAAAGTTTTACTACTACTTAGAACAATCTCTCAGACTTTTATATGTATATGTAACATCTGATTATATTATTACTGATATATAAATATGATATTGATATCGTAGCTTGTTTGGATGGAGCTGATTTATACATTGTTCTGTAGTTTATTGTATAGAAATGCTGTATATTCTATTTTGTATATGATTTTTAATCTGCAAAGTAACTAGTGACGAGTGACATGCAAGCTCTATAATGACCTACAAGTTTTTAGTACTTGCATGTGTATGTTGTATGCATGCTATTTTAGGCACCTGTTCACATTCAACAGGAAAATATTTACAGCAATACGTTATACAAGTCACTTTGTACTAAATGTTTTTTATGAACAAGTGCTCAACAGTATAAGAAGGTAAATAAAAACTCATGTTCCACTGTGATCAACTTCAACAGTTAAATGCTGTTGTGATATATTTTAATAATCCATGTTGTCCATGTCATAATAACGGATTGAATATACACTGTGGTCTATCAGTATAACTACTTGGAATGGAAAGGATTGGAATGCTTCTCTCACAACTTAAAAAATATTTATTTACACATTAACAGCAGCTAGTTTGTATCACTGTCATTATTCCATTTCTATATGATAAATGTGAATTATAATGTAAGAATTATGTGAAAGTATGTGTATGTATGTATGTAAAGATGCAAGTATCTTTAATGGTGGGATTTTACCCATCTTCGGTGTCTTTAGCATTAAATAAACAAGGCTCCACTGGTCAGGAATCTTGTCCATGTCTTACACAGATACTGATGAAATACTTTTGTGTTGTCCACACACAGATCATTGAACTCCTCTCAGCTGCAGGCCATGGGCATCGACATGCTGCCTGGGTACAAAGACCCGTACTCAGAGCGTGTGCTGACCAGAGGAGAGATCGGCTGCTTCCTCAGTCACTACGACATCTGGAAGCAGGTACGAATACACACTGTGCACGTCACACTCTTCAGCACAGCTTAATGCACAGACACAATGCAGTGAAGGTAGTACTAATGAGACAGTATGGACATAATAAGCTTGAGCCTGTTGATGATGATGGCTGCTATGTGTCGCCCCCTAGGTGGTGCAGCAGAAACTGCAGCGTGTGCTTGTGCTGGAGGATGATGTGAGATTTGAGGCCAGATTTCGAAGCAGACTGGTTGCCATTATGGAGAATGTGATGACAGTGGGGCTTGACTGGGACCTGATGTAAGTGAAAATGTATTCTTCATGTTACTTTTACAGATAATTATGCAGATAATAACTTTTTGAAATGTTTAATTTTACCCACCAACCTGTCTCCCTGAAGTTATGTGGGTCGTAAGCGGCTGCAAGTGAAGGAGCCAGAGAACTGGGTGAAAGGAGTGAGTAACCTCGTGCACCCTGGTTACTCCTACTGGACTCTGGGTTACGTCCTGTCTCTGCAGGGGGCCCAGAAGCTCTTACAGGCGAAACCTCTGCACAAAATGCTTCCTGTGGATGAGTTCCTACCCATCATGTTCAACAAACACCCCAAGTGAGTCTCATCTACTGTTTGTACGTTCAAATGTTAAACTGTGAAAGACAGTAATAGTCTCTTGTATTCAAATCTTCAGTGAAGTGAAACTGCCTCACTCATCAATTTCAAACATGCCCACTTCCTTCTCTCCTCAGAGATGAGTACAAGCAGCATTTTGAGCCGAGGGAGCTGAGAGCGTTTTCAGTGGAGCCTCTCTTGCTCTTCCCCACACACTATACAGGAGAGCCCGGCTACCTCAGCGACACTGAGACGTCCACCATCTGGGATGACGAGGCAGTGGAGACAGACTGGGACAGGGACGTGGCCAAACACAAACGTGAACAGGAAGCTGTGGGTTCTGGGTTTCGACATGTGGTTCCTCAACCTGCTCGTGGTGGCGGGCGTCCCCTCTCTGCCAGTGGAAACAGAGATGAATTCTGACGGAGACTTGACACACGTCATACAAAGCAAGGCCAGTTGAACAACAAGACGGGACCTGGGGCTGCTGGTCTCATCTATCCCTCCCCCTCTCTGTGCAATGTGTATAGTTTAAAGATAAAATACCATCTGGTCCCATTTGGGTAATTTGATAAAAATCAATCAAAAAAAATTGTTAAGCTCTTAAGAATTCCATTTTAGCACAAGTATCTTCTTGAGGACCCAACTTAACGTCCTGATCATCACTGGACTTTTAATTGGTGCATATTTACAAACTAACCCACAGTCAGGATTTCCAGCCCAAGACTAGCTGCAAAGACCAAGGACAGTGGCAAACATTTCAATAGATTCTGAATATTATAGAAGTCCAGAAATACACATTTTTATAATATCTACAGGTAAGTGCGTCATCATAACGCAGCCACCATTGAAAAAAAGATTCACATTATGACAAGATATTTTAAATATTGATCCATTCGTCCGTCCATCTGCTGAGAGGCAGCATCGACGCAAGACAAGTCACCAGCCAATCACAGGGCATATATACAGAGATGAACAAGCATTCACACCTATCAGGCACAACATACACACCTACAGGCAATTTAATGCTACCAAATAACCTGACCTGCATGTATTGGGACTGTGAGAAGAAGTCAGAGAACCCAGAAAAAACTCGCACAGAAAGACTTCGGCCAGCCGTCAGTGGAATCGCTAGCTAACATTGTTAAAATAGAAACTTTTCACATTATTGTAAGAAACCGAGCAACATGTAACTGTAAGGAAAAAGAGCAGAACCAGCGTCTTTGAGAGACGAGTCTTGATAAAGACTTAAATCTAATACTAAAGTTCTGCCACTTATCACCAGAGTTAAGATAGAGCCTGAGGTGCATCACTGGGTCAGAATGTAACATTTTGTTTCTTTAAGTGAAATCAGCTGAGCTTTTATTCCTCAAATATATATTCCTGTTTATATGTTGTTATGGCTGATGCTTTTGATGTATCTTCAATGACCAGAGGAAACACAGCAGTCAACTTAAGGATTTTTATTTAAAAAAAAAAAAAAGCACTGGAATTTTCATGTCAAGCAAACAATGGAACAATTTCATATTAGTATTGTTCCATATCACAAAGTGAGTTATGAAAAGAATAATTAAACCACACAAATGATACTTTTTTCGTAATAAATTAATCAGCATAACAAAAGAAATAAGACATGCTTGTACTTCGGTGTTGCAAAGGATATTATGAAAGTTCCAATGCTCAAAATTTAAGACACCTGAGAATATAAATATCAAAACAGCTTGTTGCAGCAATTATTTAGTTCCACAGTTCCTCCCATTCACCTTAACTAAAGCTTTGATAAGAGGATTTCTTTTAAAAATTACATAAATGTAAAAATTAGGCATCAATTTAAAAAACATCAGTTTCTGTACAATGTGCATATCTGAATTAGTGTGGTGACGAGAGAATCATCGTGTTTTTTTTCTCAGCAAGGCAGCGCAGCAAAAAGTAAAATCCAAAGCGGATAATGCTCATCTGTCATCAAGCCACATTCTGTGATATGAACAAATAGATTTGGACTGAGCGCTTTCAATTGAAATCTGCAGTGAAGTGACGGTCTACAGGTATTTTATTTTACATTTTCAGCCTCGGTCCTGCAGCCAGCAGTGAGTCTTTCCCTTGGCAAATCAATCATCTGCTGAGCTTTGCTGACAGAGGCTGTGGTGCAGGATTTATCCGGCAGATTCAATTACCACTGTCAACTAACAACAGAATGTCACTGAGGCAGGGAGAAGGAAATTCTGCTGCGACACAGGTAGTAGTAATGTTGCATATACAGACAACAGGAAAGACATGGGTACATTACAGACCATCTAGATGATAAAAACTCATTTCTGAAAAACAAGTTGGATGGATGCTGCACCAATACCGAAAAGAAAAAGGAAAAATCAGTGAGGTATGTTGTTCTTGTGATATTGTAGCTTTGAGATCTGGACAGAGTCTGAGTGAAAAGATGCTTCCATCGGTGAGGAGAGATGGAAGGATAGATTTCCATTTTGAGAAGTAGGTATTAGGTGTGTGATTGTTTGTTAAACAGTCCAAGTGTTCAGGGTTACTGCCAGCAGCGACCGAGAACGTCAACAGATTAAACCTCAGAGGAAATGTGTACAAAATGTCAAAGCACTGTATTCACATGGATGAGTACAGCTCGTATTAAAATGAACAGATCAACAGTGAAATGGTGATATGAGGATGGTTCGACGTATGGATTAGGAAGACACCTGAAGTTTTTCTTTTTAAGTGGGGAGGAAACAAAGTTAACCGATCTGGGAGTGACGATGAAGTGTGTGTAAAAAAATTTTTTTTAAATCTAATCAAAACAAATTCCTTAACATAAGATGGCCTGGATGACTACACAAACACCAAAATAAACAAAAAACAGAAACAACAACTACTCAGTTCTTTTATCACGCTTTCTAAAGCACTTGGACAAGAAGGCAGTTTTACAAACCATTAGTTATTAAAGACATCAGCAAAGTTCCACAGTGCTTGCTTGTAGAAGCATAGTAACAGTGCAAGCCATTACACTATTCAGCCGAATACACCTGTAAGAAAAAAGTGCCATATTGCATAATGTGTATCTGATGAGCCCGCAGGAGGGCATATATATACCTATACAATGATCCAACTGTAAACATGGTGCAAAGTAGTTATGACATAGTTTAAGGCTTTCAGAGTTTTCCTGAAGAATTGTTGTTCACTGAGATAAAGGAATACGTCCACGAGTTGGACAAACAGTGTGGAAACATTAAAAAAACAACAAAAATAAAATAAAAAAGATTCAACCTCTCTAGACTCAGACCTGGACAATGCATGTGCTCAAATTGATTTTAAACTTCTGCTTTACATGAGGTTTACTTGACTCAAATGTTACTCCACAAGGATTGTTAAATTTAGGTGCCAGGTTTTTCATTTGTTTGTCCCAGTATAGAACCAAATCTTTATTATAGAGGCCATTTTAATTTATCAAAAACAAGTGTAATAGCCACAGAGCGTATATAAAGATGAAGGACACGTTTCCACTTCCTCCCACTATCCAGTAATGAAGCCAAAGTACCCCAGATATGAAAGCTGCAGTCTTGCGCACCAGAATCTGTGCAGTAAGGTGGTCATGGGATGGAGCCATGTTGGCAAAACATTGACATACATGCTCGACCGATCACGGCCAGTCTCAGCTGTCAATCGAGATTTCTATTGCATCAAATAACTCATTAAAAGGGGGTGGGGTTAATGACCAATACTGCAGACAGCCACCAGGTGGGGATCGAGACGCTTCGGCTTCACTTTTGGGGCGCAATCATGTCGTCCACCTTTCTATAGTTTATGGTGATAACATTATTATTGTTATTATATTGTTTTCCATTTAGAAGTATCGTACACGTCTTGTTAACGCTGGTTCAATGGTGCACCTGCACAGAGCAGAGCCACTGTTTAAGTTATTTACACCTGAGTGACAAGTTAAAATGCCCTTCACAATAAAGCTCTAGTGGTATCATCTTTCCCCAACTTGTTTTAAATTACTTATAATTATTACAAATTACAACTTCTTATACCCGATTTGATTCCCACACACTGGGTTAGAATAGGAACAATTTTTCCAGCACTTGAAGTCATAAACTTTGTTTTAACTGTTGGTGAAACTTACACCGTGTGAATATACACCCAGCACAACTGATCCTGAAATATGCTCTCCACTCCGCCTGTGATGAGTGTGGGGGGAACGCCTTTACTTCGAAGGTCGAATATCAAGCTCGCCTTATGTCATGGTTTCTTTGTCCCTAAATATTTTTATACCATTGCATACACACGTTCTCCAGTTCTGTCACTAACAAAAAAATATCTACTAAAAAAAACACACACCAACACTCACAGGCAATCTCATCCTATCAAGCGTATACTGTTACCCCTAATATAAGGACTACAATTCATCACATGTATTAATTCTGCTGCTAGTAGCATTACCATGTCTCTACATTAAAAGCTTAAAGCTTATATACATTTGCATCAGTATTAGAGATAATACTACTGTGAATTATGTGTCAGCGTTTCATGAATAACTCATGTAGACTTGAGGATGGCGTGCATACAGCTCTTCTACAGTGAAGTTTGACTCACTTTCTGGAAAAAACTAATATTTGATCTATTAAGTTCAATATACACAAAAAAAATATAGACAAATATCACCTCAATGATGGTTATGCGATAAAAAATGAAGGAATGTGTCATCACTAAAACTCAAAGCTACAAAAAAAAAGCTAAAAAGCTTCTAGTCACTGCCTTGCTAGCTAACATCACAATATTGTGCTACTCGTGGTAAATAAATGTTACTTAAAAGCACGACAACCAGGAAATAAACCACGGGAAAACAGAGAAGATTTGGCTTTTGATGAATGTGTAGATTTGTACAGAAAATGTGAAAAATCCCTGCAATTTGTGAAAGTGTTTCAGTTTGAGAAATGAGGTTGTATTTAGGGTCGGTGCTTAATGATTCCAAATCTTATCGAATCCTGATGGAGAAGAAAAACCGAAGTATGTTGAAAATAAAATCTACAATTATTTCCATATGGTTTGAACTGCCATAAACCTGTCATGAATAAATGTTCTTAGTTAAAAGAAAAATAAATTCTGTTGCACCATGTTAATGGTTTTTATGGCTGGAATTTTCAGGCATTACGAGTCAATGAGCACGACAGCTGTGTGGCACAACTGCTTTTACAGAATTTTTGCATCAATGTGATGAGAACCTTGACTTTACTGGTGCATAATTAAGAGGATAAACCAAAAACTGACTGTCCCATCTAGTTTTTTTTTTTATATAAAAGGTTTTCACCATTTTAATTTCACTATGTCACAATACAGCATAAGACACACCCTGCATTTTTACACCTTTCTGTGGTAAATGTGTCATCATATTTGATTAACTTCCCTCCCCTGCCCCCCCTGTATTTATTTCTATGTACTGATTTCAATTCATTTCTGTCTTTTGTGAAGAGTAGCTACACCTGAAAAACTCACTCCAGTCTGCCATATTGTAAACATTATACACGTGGTTTAATCCATGTGTAAGGAGCCTTGTAAATGAAGTACAGAAAGTCCAAACTTTGCTCTCAGGAAACGATAAGTGGAATCAAAAAACACATTTCTTAAACAAATCCTTGGTTCTCATAAATTTGGAACGTTCGTGAAAACCAACCCTGGTTTTTGCTGAGCAGGTGGATAGTGGTCACATGACTCATCGGGGTGGATGGAGAGATGAGGCTACGTGCTCCTCACTTCCAGCTCTGTGTATTCACTTGTGTACAATGTGTGTATGTGTTCATTTTGGAGTACAACTCCGTAATTCTAAATCCTTATGGGTGAATCTGATTGTAGCTGGTTAAGTTGAAACCCACGTGAGCTTCCGTGCTGCTGCTGATCCCAGTGCACAGGAAACCCAGACACGCACCATCCTAATGGTGCAGGGTCGGACTGGAAGCAGAGGATATGCCCTTGTTGCGCCCCAACATGGAGGGCTGGAAGTCGGGATGACGGCGGGCGTGCTTGATCAGATGGTCACTGCGCATGAACCGCTTGTCGCACAACGGGCACAGAAAGCGCTTTTCTCCTGTGTGGGTGCGGGTGTGACGGGCGAGCTCATCGGAACGGGCAAACTTTTTCTCACAGTCGGGCCAAGTGCACGGGAAGGGCCTCTCACCTGTAGCACAGAGAAAGAAAAGAGCAGGGACAAACATTTACTTCCATGTCAGCGACCAATAACAATCCACCAAGTCACCAAGAATACAAACATGCAACAGATGCGTTAGACTAAAAGCAGGTTAGTATCAGTTGGGCGTATTGGCACCAATACACTGCAGAGGTTAATCAAAAACAAAAATGTGGAAGTATTTATGTCTTTCCAAGGTTACTTCGTGTTACTTCATGGTAAGTAAAAATAATTTATGCAGTCGCTAAAACCTAAAATACTTAATTTACAAAGACGTAACACAAAACAAATTCTCATAACTACAAGTGTGAAACTGGGGAATGTTTGCTATTTGAGTTTGAAAAATTACTAAACGTGCCAGTTAAGTTTCCATTAGTCAATTTATCAGCAAAAATAAAAGTTCTAAAAAAACCTTTTACTTCCTCTTTCATACTTTAAACAAAAGCAGGACATAGTATTTAACTGTTCCTATATTAATGCCAGATACGTTTAGTTATTTGAATGAGTGTCAGGCAATAACCAAACAGTTCATAGTCTCTGTTTTAAGTTGTTCCTCAAAGTTAATATGATAATGTACTTTATAGGACTGAATAATGATTGTTTACATATAGTTTGTCACATAATGCATATTTTTTATGCATTCAGTTTAACTCACTACATTTAAGATGGTGACGAATCTACTGCCTGTATTTCTGTTATAGAGAAATAATATATGAATCTCTTCATAGTTAAATACGTGTCAAAACATATCTAGGATTTAGATCCTGCAGATTAGTCTTCCTAAACCACTCCTAGCCTTAATCTCTCCCAGGCAACATGAGTCAAACCACGTTGAGAGAGTGGGATGCTGCTCGGTGCCATTTTCAAGATCACAAAGCTGGGGCCACGTTGTTTGTTGCAGGGACACTTTGTGGGCGTTCCCACCACCGTTTCTTTCCTGCCCTTAATCCGTCTGCGCCTGCTCAGTGATCCTGAACACACCGATCCCCTCATTTCACAGGAGAGGGAGGAAGAAATCACATGCACGTTTTTACTACTCAGGGCTGGAGCTCTGATATCAGTCTGACGAGGGGCTCCAACTACATCCAGTTTTTCACAATGGCGCTTCTGAGACAGTTTGCAGTGATACCTCCTCAGCAAACACCCCAAACTTAGATAAATCAGTAGATGATCACACAAGAGGGGTTCTCACCTTCTGCTAATGGTTTCAAAAAGGTTTGATCACACATAGTCAGTTTCAAGTCATCAGCAGATATCATGAAAATAATGTTCGGGGAGAAGCTACACAACCACACATCGAGCACTTGCTGCTGCCATCGACAGGACAGGCCGTGTCCGACAATGAACTCTGTGCTCCCGACGTTAAGGTTTCGTCTTACGTTCATTTCATATGCAAATATGGTCGGGAGGAAGACCTTCGTCACCGGTTTTAACGTCCAGCCCAGTTCTTTTGTTAGTTTACTTCTTTGTCAGATTCCCTGAAGGGGACTTTTTCTGTCGTTCCCTCTTTGTTTGGCCACGTTACTGAACCAAGTCGACGGTAAATGGGGGGAAAAAACTACCGCCGCCGCCACGCTGCTGTTAGCTAATCCCGTGAAGTACAAAAGAGCTTCCCACACGATCTGACTTAATGGTCAATAACCATGTGGGTGACAAAGCAGAGGCTGGGGACAAAGTTTCCAATCAAGGGTCAGATGTGTGTGTGTGTGTGTTTACACGACATGTGAGACGATCGTGATGTTGTCACCGTACCTGTGTGTGTCCGGATGTGCGCCTTTAGGTGGGACGATTTTCCGTAAACTCTGTCGCACCCGTCAAAAGTGCACTGGTGTCGCTTCACCGGGGACCGGGGGGGGCCCACGCCTCCTCCTCCCCCTCCCCTCATCTGCTGTCCGGGCACCGGGGTGGCGGAGGGGGTCATGGTAGGGGTGGTGGGGTCGGACAACGTGGTGTAACCGCTCTCCCCACCACATGACGAGTTGCTGCTTTCCGAGTAGGCCGACATGGGGCGGAACTTGCCGTGCAGGTCCGTGAGGATGCCGGCCACCGCCATCATGTTCGCACCCTCCAGCCGCAGCGTCTCCCGCACCTCCCTGTCCTCGATCGTCCCGTCGGGCTCCCCGGGGAGCAGGCCCGCCGTGGCCGGCTGGCTGGCGGGGGCGACCGGGGTGGGTCTATGCAGGACGGGACCGCTGGATATCGACACCAGACACTCGGCGGCGAAATAATCAGACGAGGCAGTCAACGACATGGTTCTCCGTGTTGTTTTGTTGGCTTTAAGCGGTTAGACAGAACAAAAAAAGCAGAAAGATCCACCAGGAGGGGCTAACGGTGGACTGATCCCGACCTCGTTTTTATCAAACTCGACGATCCAACCGTGTCCAGCGGAGCCCTGTTACCGCCATACAGCGCCTCGGTAGTTTGGAAATGACTCGGTTAGTCAAGTAAAAGGCACGGATGTGAATAATAGCGGGCTAGAACCGGGTCAGCTCCTCCGGGCCAACGCGTGTGTGCCTCGCCGCCTGACGGTTCATTGTGTCTGATGCTCCGAGAAGCCGCTGCCGGTCAAACCTACGCCCCCTGGTCCCTAACGATGCGTTCAAAGACAGCCAGTAACAAATGAGCAGGAGGTGTTTATGTGTTTACACTTCTGGAAACACCACAAAAAACGCGTTTATACTGACAATGCAGTTACATCAATATGATTTTATTAGTCATAGGTTTCACAAACAAAACATAAGAACGTCACAAATAAAACAGAAATGTAAAAAAGGGTATAAATAAAATAAATATTTGCTGTTGAACCACTTTTATAGGTAACTGTAATCGCTCCACATTCTTGTACAGTGAGCATATTTTTTCGTAATGGATGAAACAAGCTGCACAACAAATACTATGTGGTGACCTTAAAGTTGGGGTGAAGGCACGGAGAGGTCTGTAATCCGACTTTTCTCTGTGCATGAACGCACCGTGAGCCGGCAGCGCGCAGTTACTGACGTCGGCAGCTCGGGCGTGGACCGCGGCGGCGGGTGCGTGGTGGAAAGTAGGTGGCGAGCAGCTTGGGTAATGATGGGGGGAAGGAGAGGAGACTGGGATGAAATGAGGGGCGCTGCACAACATGGCTGTGTGCTGGAGGGAGTTTGTCATTTCATGTTTCAGACAACAATAAACACTCCGGCCATTTATATGAACGCAAAACCCCAGAGCTTCACAGTGTTGTGGCATGAAGATGTGATAGAAATCAAGGGGTGGATGGGATGAGATGGGGAGGTTGGGATGGGGAGGTTGGGATGGGATGAGATGGGGAGGTTGGGATGGGATAAGATGGGGTGGTTAGGATGGGAGGAGGCTTTCTACAGGGTTATTTAACCAAGGGTGCTGCTGCATTTCCTCCAGTGTGGCACGGTCCAGAGGGTCCAACTCCAAACACTTGTTCAAGAAGTCTTGGCAGTCTGAGAGGAGAGAGGACAGATGACAAAGAAACAATGAGTCTTGAATCTACAGTGATCGACTGTAAGATGGAAGGAACATAATAACTGCACATTGAAACCAGCTTTGTCTCACCATTGGACCACATGGAGCTGATT